AGTCTCCAAAGATCTTCCATCTAAAGCACTGGACTTATACCTTGCTTCTGATACTAGTTAGGGGAAAAAACTTTTAGCAGTCCACCAAACCAAAGCTATTCTTTCTGGAACCATTGGGAGTGCTTGGTTAACTGTGTGCACTAGGAATATCAGGGGTTTGTTAAATGAATAGTCTTTCTTACTTGTGTTTTTTGGGGTTCTTTAGCTATAACTGTGGAACTGTTTGGTGTTTATGGATAGATAGACTAATAATGATACTTTACATACTATTAAATGTAAATTATTTATAGTTTAAACGGACAATTTTGTAAAATAGTTAATTTTTTAACAGAAAAATAGTCCTCTTCAACTCTTCAGAAGCTTGAAAAATTTACTAAAGTATGAAGATAACTTATGAATATGATTTAATGAATTTCTGGGCAAACACTTTCTTTCTAACACTACCTGCAAGGATTTTAAAAAAGCGCATACCATTTTTACCCATAAATATGAGAGATTCTCCCCCCCACCCCAATCAGCATGGGTGGAGGGGAAGCTCATTGTCTTACATTTGCATACAAAAAAGCCTCATTAAAGATATTATCTATAATTAACTGCTACCAAAAGCGGCATGTGCTCAGTAATGGAAACCAATTATGAAGATGATTTAATGCAGCCAACGGTGAACGTGACTATAAACCACATGGCCCATATTGGGCAAATGTACTGATAAGAAGAGAACCTTTTTTTTTTTTTTTTTGTGTGTGTGGGAGTTAAAAAAACAACAACAACAAAATGAAACAAACAAAAAAACAACACCTCCCCCCCCACCCCCCCCCCAGGGCCCCAGTTCTTCACCCCCCCAAATGGGCAGTTGCTTCCTCAGGAGATAATGAGCACCGAGCCCAGAGGTACTGCAATACCAGGCTGGCACTTGGCTACCAGAACCAGCTCCGACACCCTCCCTTGATGCCAAAAATGATGATGGGAACCTTTTTGTAACAAATAAATAAATAACAATTTAAAAACACACTTGTATCACTCTACACTTACAAAGCTTCACTTAATGAGCATTCTTGTTTTACCAAAATTTCATATTGTAAAAACAACTAAACAACTATGTATCTAAAAACATAAAACTACATGTATTAAACCCTTTAACAACATATATCAACTTCCCACAAAAGAACCCCTTCCAGAACTCTTTCTTCATACAAAAACCCATGCAAACTATGACCTTAGTAACCATCTGAAACTCTCTTCCCCTCCCATCAGTCCTCTTTGTTGGTTTAGTGAACAAGTGTGTCCAGTCCTTTTCCTCTGCTTCATCTTTGCCTCTCTCTGACCTTTTCCTTGTCCTGCTCAATGTAGAATTTCAGTTCATGGAGCCTCAGCTTCAGGCACTTTCTTTCAGTGAAAGATAACCCCTTACAAAACTGGAAGTTTATAACTTTCCATAAACTGGTTTAAAAACATGCTATCCTTAGTAACGTTTCCTTCAGTCCCTTTGGTATTAGTTTGTATAGTACCATCTCCCATACTAACAACAGGCTTATTTTGATGACATTCAGAAAATCATGGACCGTTTCTCACACCCGCTTTGCATATGTACACTCCCAAAACATGTGTCCCACTACTTCTTCCCTGCACCTCTCCCTTGGGCATCTAGATGAGCTTGTTGAGCCCTACTTGTGTTGCACCTCTCTTACTAGCTAAATATTTCTTACAGCCACCTATGCTAGGTCAGCATATTCTCCTTTTAGTTGTTTACCTGCCACCACTCCCCACACCTTCTTCACTTGTCCTTCTGTAAAGTTTCCCACTGGTGCCATCCTATCTCTGTCTCTCTTACCACTTTCATCAATGTATTATGATCTTTCAGGATCTGTAGCTATACCTTCTCTATCTTATATCTCTGCATGAAACCTTCCATCTTAATGTGATGAATTGGTGGTTGTCACCCCATAGACTCTTCAAAGAGGTCTGATATACTCCTCATTTCCTTAAACTAGCAGCTGCACGAAGTCAGCTGATATGTGCTACTTTCCCCTCTCCCTCTGTTACTGCCTTGCATGCTGTGCTTACATGTTTCATATAGATGAACAATCCCTAAGTCTGACGGCCCCCATTCCCCGCCCTCTCCCCATCTCTTGCTTTCTATAGTTCAGCTCTAGCCAGCTTTTCTTTTTTGGCATTCCAGAAGAACATGCACATTAGCCTCTGTACTTTTTGCTATCTTCCACCGCATCAGTGGGAATACAATTCCCATATATAGAATAATTGGCAGTAGCACAGCCTTAACCACCATCACTTTTCTGTTAAAGAACAGCAACTTTCAGGACCATAACCAAAGTATTTGCTGTATCCTTGTTGTGTCACCTTTTCCCATGTTGTATTTATTACCTTTCCCTTTGGCATCCATCAGGATCCCTAGCACTCTGATTTCTCTGTCATTTGAAGGCTCAACTTCTCCAAGTCCCTCCAGTTCCTCACTTCCATTATGGTGCTTTTCAGTCTAGTTAGTTTAGCCCCTGTTTCTTCTCCATACTAGGGCGTATGCTTTGGCACCCTTTTCATTTGGAGTCTCACTCTTAACTACTACATTTATATCATCCATGTATAATACACATTTTGCCTCTCCTCCTCCCAGTATCATTACTCCACTTATGACTTAATTAGATTCTATACCTGGAAAATTATAACAAATTTATCATTTTTCCATATATAGAATCTAATTATTGAAGGGGTGTCTTACATTCAGGGTTGTCTTATATTCAAATAAACACATGTATTGATTGTATAGGGACTTATTAAATAACTTTTAGATCATTGTTAACTTTGTTCTTTATTAAATATTACATTTATATCATCCATGTATAATACACATTTTGCCTCTCCTCCTCCCAGTATCATTACTCCACTTATGACTTAATTAGATTCTATACCTGGAAAATTATAACAAATTTATCATTTTTCCATATATAGAATCTAATTATTGAAGGGGTGTCTTACATTCAGGGTTGTCTTATATTCAAATAAACACATGTATTGATTGTATAGGGACTTATTAAATAACTTTTAGATCATTGTTAACTTTGTTCTTTATTAAATATGTAGAAGGGTATTAAAAAAAAAAGACAGAAATGCCTTACAATTTTTCTGTCTCTACCGAAGCAGGATATTGATTCAATGATGCACCTTTTTACTGCTTTTAAAGTCCATTTAACCAAAAGAAGAGTTGGAATAGAGATCATAAACCAAATTCTCTCCTGGTCCAGGAGGGTCTTGTAGTGCAGGAGGTGAGGATGTTGGAGTGTCCTGTTAGGAAAGCTGGTTATAACTTCATTCTGCTCAGTAGCTTAGGGCAGTTAACTGTGAAGTGGAAAGAGCCTTCCATCCGAATGATTCCCCTTGCAACTCCTGTATAGAGAAAGCATCTCTTTTTTTTTTTTGTGTTACCTGGTCACAATTGTAAAGGTGGACAGATGATGCAAGAGCAAGCTCAGTAAGTTTTATGAAGAAGCTCTTCAAGTGCAGCTGGCAATCTGACATGAAACTGAGGAATAAGAAAAAACCCTAATTAAAAGGATGGTTTTTGAAAAACAGCACATTTGTAATAGAATAACATTGGAAAGTAAGGAAGTTGATCAAGAGAAGAAATTCTTATCTGTAGAATCTTTAATACAGTGAGCAACAAACTTATGCTTGTATGAGGCTAGCCAATGCATGTCTTCCTTCAAGTTGCAGGGTGTTTTGAGAGAAGAAATGCATAGTGAATGAAAGGGTGATCAGCTAGCCACCTTGATATGTGACTTGTACCTTTCTTGCAGCTTGTGAACCTGCATCCTTCAATTTTCCTTCAATTTTGCTTTTGAAAGCTGAATGAAACGAAACTCCAGTATTTTTGCCGTTCGTATTGGTTTGTCTTGTTTTCCTGTCACAGGGTCAGAAATACTCAGCTCAATACACTTATTTTGGTTGTGCATTTGGTGCCTTTTTTGATATTTGACTAAAATAGACTTGCTTCAACATCCCTAATTACTTTCTCCCCCCAGTTTGATGCACCTCTTTCTATACAACCAGATAAGTTTCTCACATTTGCATTTGTGTTCTTGAGGTAAAAAGGGCAACAGTTACGTATGCTGCATGCTGGGAGAAAAGCAGAGAAGGAGATACCTTTTCAGGTACTTCATAGAGCCTGCTGATTTGAAGAGAAATTCTGTGAACTGAGAGCAGAGTTGAAGCTTCCTGTACTAGTGGAAAAGCTCATGACAGTGGTGGGAGACGATCAGTTTGGAAAAGTGCAAAAGTGAGGGAGTTCTGTATAGCAGTGCTGATAGGCGGACACCAATTTTTGTCTTGCAGAGTTTGACTTTTGATTCTAACCCATTGCAATGCATTCTTGACCCTGTATGAGCTTGTGACCTGGAGATAAAACAGTGATATTATGGAAATGTTTTAAGCATATTTTAAAATATACTTGACTCGGAACTGAATCTTTGGACAAATAAGCTCATCTGTCTTCCTTGCAGAGGAACTAGATGCGCTTGCACTACTTTTAGAAATTAATAACAGAGTTTTTTGTACAAGGCAATAAAACTACAGCAATATATATAAATGCCCGCAGAGGTCACTTTAGGTAGCATAATAAAGCAGTGTATTGTGTGCGTTTTTAAATCTAATGTGCAAAATAGGATTTTTTAAAAATTGATTTGTAATATATCACAGTCATTTATCTCAACAATTGCTTGCAGAACTGAAACCAAGATCCAGAAAATATAGTCTCACAAGGGTTTTCTAGTATGAACTTAGGTACTGAATGATGTCCCCCATTTAAGTGCTAGGAAGCTGAAGGAAAATGGCATTTTTACTTCCACTCTTGAAGGTTAAAAGTGTGATTTGTCTTTTGACAAGTCACTTGGAAAATGGTACTCCCTTACTTCACACATCATGCTTCTAGTGTATACTCTGAATTGGATTTCTTCTTTTCATTGTCAAATTGTTGTTGTTTCATTTTACAGAAGTTTGGAAGACTGAGAGGTTGCATGTGGAGACTACAGCTGGTGGAATTTGGAAGAGAATCTGTTTCAATTTCTACTCCCTACAGTATTACCTTTTCAACTCCGCTTACTGAAATAAAATATTATAGTAAACCTTGGGCTTCTTTTCAGGAGCGAAATAATGCAGTACAGAGTATGCGCAAGAAAATAAAAGACCTAGAATTGGAACATAATGACTGCCCTGAGATCCTGCGGCGACAAGCCAGTGAGCTTGAATACGGCGCAGAACGAGAGGAGAAACTTAAAAAAGCACTTGAGGTAGATACTGCTTATCTCTTTATATCAACGAAGACAAATCTTACTGAATATCTTGACTATCCTTGTTAATCCTGAGATTCTGTGCTGGACTAGTTTCTCCAGTTAACTTCTGTTTTGGAGGGATGCTGTCTTGAGTGCACCGAAATTTTTATGCTCAACTTTAATTTAAATAACACAGAATATTCCTGTTAAATGAACTATACTAGTTTTGTAAACCACCAGGACTAACTTTGAATATTTGGAGGCTTGTCTATAGTGGAACTGGAGTGGAACACAGATGGAAAATGGTTTGAAGGGGATACAGGCCCATGCACCAATTAATAAATTAACATCTTTATGCTTTTAGAAAATTGCAGCTTGTTTTATCTGTGCCCATAGTCTTCTAATGTGCAGGGTATTTTGCTGTCATTGGCACCAATATAGTCCTACAAGCAATCAATGAAACTTTACTAAATGAAGTAATTCTAGTGGTACTGTGCCAGACCATTGATTTATGACAATTTAGAAAGGAGAAATGAGGTGCTGGCAGGGCTAGAGAGCTTTAGGGAAATAAAGGCTTCAGGCTTTGAACTTTTTGCTGGCTTGGATGGTGAAGAAGCAGCAACAGAGATTCAGCAGAAAGACCAGCTTGCACAAAGTAGTCTCTCTCATCTTCTTTTTTCTGAATCCAGTGAATATCTGAGGTCCTTCAGCTGCTTCTTCAATAACAGTTAACTTAAAGTTCTACAAACCCATAATTTGTATAGAATGATATTCTAGCTTTACCAGATAAATAAAAATTAGAGCTATTGGTGTATTAAATTAGTTAAATTATTTAGCTTTTTATGGGGTATAGTTCTCTTTTCAACCATTTGGGAGGGAAAAGTTCTTCTTTTTAACCAGAAGATGTGAGGAGACTTATGAAGAAAGAAATTGGAGATAAAATTATGACAGATTTTAAAAAGTATTACCATTTTACATAGACATTATAGTAGGATATGGGGAATGATCCATACAGTTTGATTGCATAACTTTCTATTATAAAGCATGGTTGTAGGTTCTTCAGAAGAGCTCACTGATTCTGTTTTCACTCTGTGACCTCAGGTGTATCTATCTGTTTACTTGTTTATAAAATGAAAATAATGTTTCCATATCACTGTGGAAATGAATTTGCTAATATTGGAGAGACCAGGATTCTTTTTTATTTATTTATTTATTTTTTTAAGGCCACTCTAGAAATGACAGGTTTCATGTGGATAGTCCTGTATTTGTATGCTTTAAAGGTATACTATGCAAGGCAGTGGCCAGTAGCTGAACAATGAGGATTAAAAATTTACCAGGTGCTATCTGTACTGCACATGAATGAATGAAGCAGGGTTCTGGTGGAAGAAGCAGAACATGATTCTGTCATTAAAGACTATGTCAGAACATACATGGAAGTGAAATCAACATTGCACAAGCAATATAGATTTGGGCACTTCTTAACTATGGATTGCTTGAATCTGATCCTGTGTGTTTTTTAAAAGATTTGTTGGGGTTTTCATTTCCATCCTGTGTGTGTATGTGCACATTATGATATACAAAAAATAAAGATATTTGTATGCATTTCAAATGAGGTGAGGTGGAGTCAGTCTGCTAAAGATTTAGCCTGACTTGCCGTTTTACATTCTGTCAGTATAAATCTTATTTCATGGGGCAGTGGGCATTTTCTCTTTTGAATTTCCAACCCACCTGTTTATCAAACCCAATATTCAAATGAGCACCTGTCAACATAGTTGTATCCCTGCCTCTCTCCCATTCCTCCTTGTTTCACTTGCTTTCTTCCTCAGCAATAGAGAAGGGACCAGCCTGTATGAGAGCTTGTGCCCTCTGCCCAGATGTAGTTTTCAATGGCACAGGCAACAGTGTTTGGTTTTGGATGGTGATGCAGAGAAAGAAGAGTGCAAGTGGGCAAGTGCACCTTTTGCTGTTTTAATTTGCTTGTCATTGAACTAGGTGATTTGGCCATGAGCTTCTAAATCTCTTCTTTATATTTAAATCTCTAACTACTACCCAGAACTATTGCCCTATGTATAAATAAATCCAAAGTATAGGTAACATGAAAACTTGCCTTGATAGTTCCCCTCATGAGAAGTTAAGTAGCTGGTCAGCGTTATCAATTAGGGTGTATGTTTAGTAAATGAATGGCTCTAAACCTCTCCATGGTTTTTCAATAAATTTATTGAAGTAATTAACAAAAAAATCCCTTGTTCACTGCTCAGGATGAGCACATCAATTCCTCTTAAGCTCTCAAAGCAAATATTAGTTCATTACAGTGCATAACACTGAAAGGTAGGTAAGAATATTTTGATTTGTAGATAGATGGGGGAAGGGGAGACATGGACATGAGAGAATTTCTTCCCTATAGATAATGGAATTCCTACTTCCAGTCTACTGTTCTTTTATAAAGCACCTGCTCTCAACACTAGGCTGTTTCGTTTCATGAACTACCAAATAACTTGTTATTACATACTGAACATTACTATGGTCATAATATGAATCTCTCTAATTTTCTTTTCTCAGTAGTTATTTGAATGCATACTATGCTGCAATGGGTTAGATCAGGGGTTCTCAATCCCTGGGCTGTGGCGGGTTGGCTGCTGGACTGGAAGTGGCTGTGGACTGGCAAACCATGGCCCCCGGCTGTAGAGGCCGTGGCTCCTTTTGCAAGGCCCATGGCAGCGCAGAGTTTGGCTCACCTGCCCCCTCTTGGCCCAGGGAGTGGGGTATCCTTACCTGTCTTCCGGCTGGAAGTTTGTGCCGTGGTTTGCTGGACCACAGCATAAAACCTTTGGGAACTCTTGGGTTAGATAGTTGTTTATGCAGTTTCAAGAGTTCTGAGCCAGATGGCAGGTTGGCTTCTTATCTAAGCTTACTCATCCTAAGCTAGTCTTCTGTGAGGCTTTAAAGAGCAGAACTGACCTGTCCATCCCTGGATAAGTACTCTACTTGAATACAAGATGAGGTTTTTTCCTCTCAATTAGCATGGAGGAAATCTTGTCATTAGATTTGCATACAAAGCAGAAGGGAAGGGCAGGTAGCTGCTGCAGCTCTGACTCTGGCCCTGACCCTAGGCTGTGGCCAGTCAGACCCACAGCAGTGGGAGGATGGAGGGTAAGAGGGCCACCTGACTCCTCCTAGCCCAAGGGCAGGCAATTATTTTGGGTGGAGGGCCGCTTACAGAGTTTTGACAAGCTGTCAAGGGCTGCCTGGGTAGCCCTGTCCCTTGACAGATGCCCCACCCCCCAGTTGCCACTTTGTGACTGGAAGTTCCTCCCCTTGCCCCCAGAAGTACTTTCAGCAAGTGGTTTTGCCATCTTAGAACCAGAAAAATACCAAATTATATTCTAAAAATCAAACATCTACAACATTCATTAATTTGATTTTTTCAAAAAAATCTTTCTGTCCTGATTTATATGTTTGTGTAGTGTACATAGAGGTGATTGTACAATAGCTTAAAATGAAGTCTTATTCTCTTGTATATTGTGGAAGGGGGTGGGGAGTGGGTATAGGCTTGGGGTACAGGGTATAGGGCTGTGAGTGAGGGTGAAGGAGCATGTGGATAGATGTGTGTGGGTATGGGGTTTGTGGCTGGGATGTGATGGGGTGTGGTTGTTGGGGTCTGCATGTATGGCAATACAAGGAGGGGTGTGGGTGCATGGGTATGGTGGGGTGTGTGTGTGTGGGACTTGCCCTACGAACACACATACATTCTCTCGCTCTCTCGCTCATTGTGCGTACACACACAGGGTACCAGTGCAGGGTCAGCGGTGATGCAGCTGGGGGCCATGTGGTGCTGGAGCAGCTGGCAGGCAGGCAGGCAAGTGGTGGCAGACAGAGGCTTCTGATTGAGGGAGGGGTAGAGGTGGAGGGGCGAGGCCAGGCCAGCCTTGCAGCTGGGTCTTGCTGGCTTTCCCTGGATCCTACTGCCCCTGGCTCCTGTAGTTTTTGATAGGCAGCTGGGAGCAGATAAATATAATTTTTCTAATTTTTTTAGGGACCCTGCTGGCCAGATAGAATGGCTTGGCAGTCTGGATGCAGCCTGTATTTTGCCTGCCCCTGCTTTCCCTGCTGTAGCAGTGCGGGAGGAATGGATTTAAGGCGACTGTAACAAGTGGGCATCCCAGGGCCGGTTTGAATATTGGCCCACCCACTTATTTTGGAGCAAACTACCTGCCTACTTCACCTGACACACCTTTGATATTAATTGAGATGATAATGCGAGAGGCTGCCCTTTTACTTGCCTGGATACCAAGGTCTTATATACATGGCTCCAGCGTCTCCCATACTGTGTCCTATGCCTTGCAGATGGTATCCATGGTCTAACACCCGACCTATAACTTGCCTGGCCTAACACCTGGCCACTCAATCTGGGCTCCCATCCCTTCCCAGTTCCTTGGGCTCCCAGCCCAGCTCCACTCAAGGCTCCTAGCCTGGTTTGGGTCCCTCATAGTCCCCATATGACCCACACTGGGCCTCAATCTTCATATGCCCAACACAGGGCTTCTCAATATCCCCACGCTCATCCCCTGTGCCTGACACTGGACCTCAAGAATTCCCTTACCCCTTGCCTGAGAAACCTCACATTTAGCTCCATTGGCTTAGGACCCCATCCCTATGGAGTCTTGGATCCAACTCCTTAATGCCACTTAGGTCTCACAGTGGGCCTGGAACTTGCCTCAAGTCCCTTCATGACTTGGGCCCTGCCTCAGGACTCTGTGAGCCTGGGCTTCTCTTTGTTCTTAGGGGTGTGCTCCCCTAGCTTTTCCCCTCCATGGGGTCACCAGCAAGGCAACAGGGACTGAGGCTTTCTGGTGCCCCATATTCACCCTTCACTGGGGAGGCACAGGTGTGGCATTTCCTGGAGATTGCCCCACCACACTGTTCAGCCCCAGCAGGGTATAGTTTTAGGTCATACCCTAGGACCGGGAGCCTCCAGCCGTCCCCGTAGCTCTTATCCTGTACCTTTAAGGTGGTATGAG